CTCAGATTTAAAATAAAATTTAAAAAAGGGTTTAAAATAAAATGAAAAAAGCTGAACAAATGGGAGCTTCTTGTCCTAAATAGCAGAAAAGGAACTTGTTTTGCAGAGTCCCGTTGATTTTTCTTCATACCAGCCTCTCTCTGACAGGAATGAGACAGGGCTCTCAAGATGACCTCCAGAGGTCCCATCCAATCTAACTTAAGGTATGATTACGTGATTCTTAGTTAAAGATGCAACCCACTGATCATATTACTTACCAGATGTGGCAATACCTTGTCAGTGGTTCCCTTTTCACAGACGGGGATTTGATCCACCCCATGGTAACTCTGAGATTGCAAAACGTATTTCATGGCTTTGCACAAAAGAGGTCCAGCTAAAGAGTTTGATTTTTGGCAGGAGTGCCAGCCTGGGCATTTAGGACACCCATATCTACACAGGATACCAAAAACATCTCAAAGAAGTAAAAATTCATTTTCCATGGAAATACCAAAGAACACAAGGTTAAAATCTGTTTTAATAACAGATCTCTGAATTAATTTGTTAAATGAAAGGGCTCCGTGACTGAAGCAGTTTCTAGAAGGACTCCTTTGAATTGCTTGTTGGATCCAACCCTGTTCAGTGCTTTCATCCCTCTCTTGGAGCATAGCTTAAATCTTTCATGGTAAGATCTTGGGATCACCTAAAGCTTGATATGGTGCTAGATAAGGTACCCAGCTCATTTTGATACAAAGTGATCCGACTCACATCAGTACACAGTCACAATCAAACAAAATGTGTCTTAATGCAGCGAAACACAAGGTAATACCCCTGGGAACGAGGAAAGCATGTTAAACTTAGGGGTTTGGAGACTCTTGAAAAGCAATGACTCAGAACAGGATTTAGAGGTCACTGGAGATAATTGTCTCAACATGAGTTCTCAGTGCCACGCTGTTGCTAAAAGGCTACTGTGAACCTTAGAGGTATAAAAACATAGAATAAAATAGGGAATTGGTCTCTCTTCTGTACCCAATATCGCTGCCACAGTTCTGTATCCAGTGTTGGTGCCCACATATAACAAACCATGTGAAATTGCTGGAAAGAGATCAAAAGATACAAAAATAAATAAATAACATTAAAAAGATAAAAATAAAATATCCAGCAGCTGGTAAGCAAACCTTACAATGGGAACTTTAGTCTTCTCCAGCTTCAGAGAAAAGGTTTGGAATAGCTTCTTGCTCTGCATGGAGGGACTTGCACATGGTAAAGACATCCGATCATGCAGGGCAGGAGATGCTGGTAAGTTTGCAGACAAAGGCAAAACAAATTCCAGTGGTGGGACATGGGAGTTAGACAAACTCGACCTTGAAATAAGATGCAGTTTCCTAGCAGTAATTAAGCATTTGAATGGCTTACCGGAGGAAGTGGTGGGCTCACTATAATCAGATGGCTTTGAAATATGAGATATCTTTCTAAAAGACAGGCTTTGATCCAGTTCTAGGGGGAAAAATGAACAGCCTGTGTATATAAGAGGTCCGACAAGCAGAGCATAGTAGCCTTTTTGACCTTAAAGTATATAAATTATCGCAAACACAGGACTTTCAATCTTGCGTGGAGATAATTCAGCAGCACATTTGTTCTCTGGTCTGAGGTGTCACAGTCATGTCACGGTTGTATGTAGTATAAGGAAACCCCTGTTTTCTAAAACCCAGGGCTGTATAAACATGGCCCTAACTGAGACCTTATTGTGCTGCCCATCTGTGCTCCTGGAGCCACCAGAGTTAGGAATCCACACACAGATCATAGGCCTCCGGGGCTTTGCTGTGGCAAAATTTGAGCTGCAAAAGTCACTGATACCATGCTCACCTCCTTCTGTTACCTCTCTCGGAAAATTTTGCAGTGAGTTCTAAGAATAAAAAAAAATCACCTTTATGCTTTAGAAATTTGAGAGATGTTTTGTATCATGACTTCGTATTTTTTTGTGAGATCATATCTTGATATATTTTCCTTTGCTGTGGGTACTGCCTTCCCACATTTTTTTCTATTTGAACCATTAAAGCCCGAGTTTTGTTCTGTTCAGATTTTATTTTGTTTTAAGCTGTGTAACTTCCCAAAAGTCTTTCTCTTAAGGAGTAGGGAGCTTTTTTCAAATGTCACTTCATCCTTGTCCTTCTGCCAGAGCCAGTGAGAGGTCTCAGTGAGAAGTCCTGTGGATGTAGCTGTGGACTGGTTTATTACATCTGCTTAAAATTCACTGTCAGGCACCATTTGGATCACTTGTGGCCCATCCAACTGAACAAAACAAAACAGAAAAACAAAACAACAACAGCAACAGCAAAACAATATTCAGATGGATACATCACACTTGTGACCTGGCTTGTAGCTTAGCTCTTGCTGATCTCCGTGTTTCAGACAAAAACAGCCTTTAAATTTTCCAAGCGAAATAAATGCATTGCCCTGAAACTGCTGCTGGTATTAGAGAGAGGTGAGCAGCTAAACCCCACTTCAGCTTTTGAGGACCTAAATGGCTGTAAGATGTCAGTGACAAACCTCTCAGGTGTAATTACCCCCAACTCACTCCATACAGGCCTGAAACACATTAGCTGCAAAGCTAATCTGCAGATGAGGCCTCAGCACTCCCACCTGTACAAAACACTGCCCCGTGCATCTGTTCCTCAAATATTTATCTGCTGTTTCCTGCAAAGACAGTATTTCCTTGCTGTCTTGCAGCTTCAGGTCCCAAAACACATTTCTGATGTCTGAACTGAAGACAAGGTAATGAAGAGGTATAGTGCAGCTCGTTGGCTGTCCTCTCACTACACCATCTTTATTGTAGAAAACATTATTAATGTGTGGGAGAAAATGACAACATTTTATCTTGCTTGAAACTGTAATCGGTACAGTAACAGGGCTGGTTTGCTTTTTCTTTTATGTGCTTTTTTTATATATTTTTTTCTAGTAGGTAGCTATGGATAAGCATATCACATCTCTGCAGGTCTTTGTTCTATGAACGGTATCTCAAGCTCCATCTGAGATTTGACCTTCCAGAATCCTACTGGCCTAATCACCTGCAGCAAGTTCTTTTTTTTTTCTTTTAATGGGCAAATAAAACGTAATTAGTTCTTTTTCATTATCACTAGTCATCAGGAGAGAAGGCAGATGGGTAGATTTTGTGCCCGAGCTGATAAATTTTTGTGGCAATTTTGCGAGGAGTTATAAAGATGTAGAGATATCAGAACAGACAGAGGTAGGGATAATGGATGGGATTTTCAAAAGCACTTTTGCTAGCCTAGCACTGCTCCCATTATCATTAATGGCAGGTGCAGAGCACTTGTGAAAATGACTCGGGTTGTGTGTGTGGGAATGTGTGCACGGAGCAGATATTTATCACACTTGACCCACACGTAGACTGGAAGCTCTGGGAACATGGAGGAGGATTTTGTTCAGCTTTCTGTGTAACGGTAACCGCATGAAATGATGTTGCAAGTGATGTTTTATGGCACTAAAATCTTCCAAGAACGGAAGAGGTATAACTCAACAGAATCCTAGTGCATGACACGTAAGCCTTCGTAAGTGCTACCGCAATAATAACAGATCAGGTTCTCATCCTATTTATATTACAGTAAATTCAAAGTAATGCCAATAATATTAGTGAAAGGGCTTCTAATTCATACTGGTATAACTGGGATGAAACTGAAGCTCACAATCCGCAGTAATGACAAACTGGCTTGTCTTAATTTACTGTTTCTTTGGAATTGAAAATACGTTATCCTGACAACTCCAAATCTCATCCCACTTCAGGAGAGACCTACCTCTCAGGACATCTTTGCTCTCCAAGCTCATTCATTTCTTACCTCTCTGCTGAAGCTGTCAGTGGGATGCTAGCTGTAGAGGTGGTTTCTCTGATATATAGAGCTCCCAGCAACTACACTGAGACCCACCACTCATTGTTCATTGGTCTTTGAACAGCCATCACATGGTAACAATTTTCGTTCACTATCGAGCTGTCTTGTTCGAAATGATGACTTGGAAGTGAAGGGCTCCATATCTCATTACCCCAGAACAAAAGCATCCACATTCTTTATCTGGTTTAAAGATCCAGCTCAACTACACGCTAACAACTTTTATTTCTAAATGTGATGCTTCATCAGTCCCCCTTTGAGCTTTCTGGGTATTTCCTTTCCTGTTGCTACTTTTTACTTAGCTGTTTGTAATGAATAATGGCATCTTAAAACAAACCGGGGAATGCTCCTATGGTGGTGGTGGTGGGGTGGAGGGGAAGCAGTAGTGTCTATGCATTTGATGACTTGACAGATACATAAACTCTCATTTTACTAGATTACACGGGGCAAGCGTTTCTCATGTGGGTCCACTTCTATTATTGTTATATATTAAATTAGTGGTGCTGAAAATACAAGATTTATATCCTGAGAGTTTTAGGTTGTCTGTTACTCTGTCTGCATGAAATAAATCTAACAAAGGCCAAAAGAAACTGAACCTTCCCAGCAAAATCTTTACCTTCTCATCTATCTAGCCAGAATCTTTAGGGGGTTGCATGTCTAGATCTCTCTGTAGCCATGGTAGATATCATGGCTTTCTCCACTATCAAGTACTGCTGAAAGTGACCCTACTAGCTTTGGTGTGATGCAGGTTGCCTGTGATTTGTACAGGCAACAGGAATGGTGTACAAAAATCATTGGTATATGGACAGAAAGAAAAAAAAACACCAACTTTTAGGGTCTCCAGAGTTATCTTAATGACCAAGATGTGAAAAGGCATGTCCCAGAATCAATCTCAAATATGGTTTCTTTAACTTCTGGTCAAGTGTATGCATGTGTTTTCATGTATATACAGATATTAATTCATATTTGATGTTCTTTATTGGGGCTTTAAGGTAACAGATCCTTCTCTGCACAAGTGTGAAGTTCACATTTCTCTCTGTCTGCATTATAAAGTGTTCTTGCACCATGAAGCCTGCAACAATTCATGTTACATTTGCTCTAATCTTTCTTATCCTTCTGTAGACGGCCTGGTGGATTGCATGGACCCAGACTGCTGCTTGCAGCCCCTGTGCCACGTCAACGCGCTGTGCCTGGGCTCCCCAGACCCCCTGGATATCATCCAGGAGACACAAGCCCCCGTCTCCCAGCAGAGTTTGCATTCATTCTATGATCGGATCAAGTTCCTGATCGGCAAGGACAGCACTCACATCATCCCGGGAGACAATCCCTTTGAAGGAGGGTAAGTGAGTTTTGATTTTTCTTCAGTAAGAGGTAAAGCCCGAGCCACTTGGTCACTGAAAGAGGTAGAATGGCTTAAGAAGGAATAGCAGCAAGATGCAATACACAGAAACTGTCTCAGGGAAGTAAATACCTGTAAAATGTTGTGGCTGGTGTAGTTCTGTTTTCTTTCTCCCCATCTGCAAGGTCCTGCCACCCAGTAAGAAAAGATGCTTCCCTCTCAGTGTGCATGGGTGGTTACATCTGTCCTGTCCTCTCTTATTTCAAGGAACAAAAGCCATCCATTCAGCAGGGCTCTTCTATTTCAAGTGACTGTCATTCTCCAGAAGCATTTAGTACATTTAGCAATGGCAGACCTTCTTCCACATTAAACAGAGGTTTGACAGAGCCAACAGAAAGGAAAACTGGAATATTTACAGTCTATAGTATGGCTTCCAACGGCATGGAGAAAATCTTACAGTCTGGGGAGGGCTATTAGAGAGATTTCTGATGTAAACAATCAGGTTGAATATAAATTGGTTTTAATATGTAGACATTCACTGCAATAGTCATCGAGAAATAGGAACAGACAAAGAGATTTTTTTGTTGTTCATGTCTGCGACTGCATTTCAGCCCTTTGGTTCAGACCGTGTTGGGATGTCAGGAGAGGCAGCCCCTTTAAACCATGTGCTTGTAGCGGGACACCACAATGCATACCCTGGGGCATCAGATTCTTAGATCATTCGGTGTCTGCTCCAAATGTTGCCTTTCAGAAGTGGTGACCCCGAGCCACGAGGTGGTTCTCAGCACTTAGGTTTGAACTCAGCTGAATTCCACCCAGTCATTAACTGCTTACTTTCAGCTTTCCCACGCACAGCAGTGAATAGCTTGGCTCTGAAACTGTACAGTCCTCGTGTTCCTGCGGGTAGTTATTTCAGTACTTGCATCTCAGCAGGCCTCTCGGGCCCTTCTGGGTCTGACCTAATGCTCTTCCAGGAGGGGATGTTGCCAGCATCCCTGGGTCACACCTCCCGTGGGTACCACCTCCTGTGTATCACCATCTCTGGTGGTCTACAGGCTGACCTCGGATGTGAACTACTCAGAGGCATGCCAGGGGCAGGGAACTGGCCTGATGTGATAGTTTCTCTGATTTGTCTTGCTGCCAAGCCCTTCAGAGTCCACGAAAGCTAATGGCAGTGATTCAGGTCAAGGCCAAGCAGTCATTATGTAGGTTTTCCTTTTCCAGCATTCTCAAGATTACAGATTCTGGATACTGAACAGTCCAGGCTCTAGACTCAACGCTAGAACAGTGAATCCTCTGTTGTCAGTTGTTGGCATTTGTTGCTGTAAAACTCAGCTCTCAGAACTTAAAATAACTTACACTCACAATTTCATTTTCTGATATATTTACGGTTGTAGTTCCTCAGTTGAGCTCACAGTTAAAACCTTTCCACAGCAGACTGTGGTCTCAGGGCCGTGTATAGCTACCTGTTTTGATAGGTAGAGGTTTTCAGTAGACACAAGTCACGTTTAACAAATTTTTCTTTGCAGCTAAAAAACTGTAGGAATCTTCATGCACGTGTGATAACAATTTGCAGCTTCTCTTTAAAGAAAGTCTGCATTCACCAGTTTAGAGAGGTGGGGGGAATAATGTGAATTTCTCATTATATAGTGAATTTGCTTATGGGAGTGCCAGCAGAGAACCAGAAAGATTGTCATGTAGGGTCACATAAATTCCTAAAGGAGTTACATGTGTTTCATAGATTGGCTGGTAGATCTCTATTTAGGAAGGAATTACTTTCCCTTTGTAAATGCCCTGCTAAGTATTCAGAATTCAGAAGAAGAACCTGCTAGCAGAAATGTTTATTTGGCATATAGATTATTAGAGTGAGAGAATGCAAAGATTCAAATCAATAGGAAGGGTTTTAATGATTGCTTTTAATTTACTACAGTGAAACTAATAAATGGAGCTCCTTGTTCCATTTAAGATAACACGAAGAATTATACAGAGACATTGATGACTGATGAGGTTGCCTTTCTTAAAATATCAGCACGGGGTGGGTATCACTAAATATGGTCCACAGACATGCCACCTCAGGCAGTGATTTTATTGAATCTTTCAAGTTAAATATCTGACTCATCGCAAGAGCAGTTGCAAATAACAGTGAAGGATTTCAGCAGAAGGTATGTTTTCCCACGAGACAGCACCACAGCACACAATCTGGGCTTATTGGTCTGTTGGGTTGCTAAAAATGACATTACTCTTTTGAGATGTTAAAAGATACCGTGAGTTCCTGCTAGTTCTTAAAAGTCCTGCAGATCTGGATAAACTCAACCGTCACAAGCATTTTCTGCCTGCTTAGCCTCTCTTTGTAGTTCCAACTGGCTGTTTGTCAGAAGGCTGAACCTTTAAACAGCCATCTCTTGTCACCCTGGAAATGGCACTTCAGCGGTGGTCAGACAGAGACTTCTCCATGGAGGAGCATCCTGCAGGCAGTCTGGGCCTGGGACAGCTGTATCTTCACTTGTAATTATGCCCTTTCTTCAGTAGCGTTCTCATTAAACCTCCTCCTGTTGGTTTAAAAGCAGATTGGTGATAAAATCCCTCTTACCATCAAACTGCATCTCCATGAAGATTACAGCAGCAGCTGGGAGCAAGATGAACCATTTTCCTCTTCCTTCCAGCTGCTGGTTCAGGATCCCATCCAGCAGGAGGGAGGGCAGGAAATCTTTTTCTCCCAGTGGAGAGCTCTGACATCCTGACTTAGGGCACTTCTCCCCACCCTTTGCTGCCGCTGCAATTCATGAAGTCATCTTCTTCTTGGTGTAGATCAGGACTGTACACTGATGTACAACACATGCTGTGAGCAGTCCCATAAGCAGAGGTGAGATGAGGGGACCCTCTGTTTTCCACGGGGACGATGCCCTGCAGAGACACACATGGCACAGGCCCCCTCCTCATCTCTCAGGTCAGGGATTTGAGGAACCAGAGCCTCTTTGTGCTTTACCAGGCCATGCCTGGCTGCTACATCCAGCCCTGCAGCTGGAAAGGAGGTGTTACACCACAGCACGGCTGCAGCTCTTGTATGGGCTTGCAGAAGAGGCAGTGGAGTGAGGGAGATGACTGAATACCTGTACAATGCGTTTCCTGGGCTTCAGAGACACAGCTTAGCTACCCTTTAGAGAGAACAGCAGTGCGGATCACCTAATGGATACAAATAAATGAATGCCTCGTGACAGCTAGCCTTTGAGTGAATTTATTATTGAATTACACTCCAGCTTTTTAAGAACAAGCTGAGCTGACAAGCTCTCTCACCACTGCAGAAGAAAAAGAAAGACAATGATAAATTACCCAGATGGATAAAGGTAAAGACCTTGTCTCCTCCAAAATACCAGCAATTATATATTATTCATGTTTGGGAAGAAAAAATAATCATTGCCCATATTGAAATGAGTGTTTATGATGATAAAGCAAGTAGCTAAATTAAATTCTGAATGCACAGAATGTCTTTTCACATCATTTTGATGAACAGATAACAAGTACTCTTCTGCTACTTGATCGTTCGTGTATTGATTTTGAAACCACTTACTCTTGCTGTTTGCTTTGTATTTTTAAGCCATTCTTAGTTGTCCATCACTGTAAGGAGCAGCACAAGATGCAGCGGTGTCAAGTTGTTGACTTTCAAGTAGGACACCTGATATCTTTGTTCTCTCTTGAGGGACAGTGTCAGAAAACTGCAAGAAGAGGCTAAAGCCCTGATCCACAGAGTCTATGCTAGGTGTTGGCAGAGGATTAACGTTCCGCAGAAATCCATGTGTAGAAATGGTGTTTTTTGTACAGAATATTTGAAAACAAATCAGGTGATGTTTAAGTAGATGCATTTTAAACCCCTTCTTTTTTTTTTTGCACATTTTTCGTATATCTCCTTGCTGCCAGTAGTGCTAACCCCTCCCAATTAAACAGGCAGCTGGAAATAACCCCCTGAGTTATGAAGACACATCAGAGAGCAGGATCAGTTGCAAGAATAGTCCCTTATTGCCATCATGTCAATATCCTACGTACAGAAAGTTAGTAAGTTTTAATGGTTAAAAATTCTGATCTGAATGCCGTTTGCACCTGTCTGTTCCCACTGCTCAGTGAGCAGCTATCCCCAAACATGCCACTCCACCTCCCTGTGCCTCCACGTGTGCCAGGCTGTACAATGCACCTTCCTGATCCTACAGGTCCCCCCACCAGATCTTGCTGAGTTCGCTTGTCCTAGCCAAAGACAAAATTAGACAGAAGTCAAAAAAATACCAAAACAACAAACTAACCCGGTGTGGCTTTCTGCTGATGACTCCTCCCAGGCTGGCAGGTCCAAGCCATCGCTTTGGCCCTGCGCTAGCAGGATGCAGTTCCTTCGGGCCAACAGCAAAATACCATGGTGGGATGCACCCCAAAAACTGCAGGCACCTCGGAGGCCATACAGGAGCTCCCATAACACAGCAGCCCGACAGCTTTGGACAGATCTGAGGGATAAATGCCACATCTGTTTTATGGTGTGTCATAGATACTAGACACCAGGCAGTGCTCCTGCTCAAACCATCTCCTTCCCAAATTTACTCTCTTCCAAAGGCATCTGTCTATTTTTGTTTCTTTCTGCTTAAATTAACTACTCATTAGCTACAAATCACAGCTTTGTGAAATGTAGGAGAATAATGAGGAATTTTCAAAGACCCAGTGTTTTTTATTTTGGTAATTATTGCTCATACACACAGACAAGCATATTTTTAAAACTTACCTTTTCAGTGTACAGGCCATATATATGTGCCTTCTCAACATCTGCCTTTTTATTTTGGTTTTAAATTATATATTATGGCATTATTTCAGCTCAAAATGATTTTGCATTGAGCATGGCATTATTCCCATAAAATAAATTAATGCAAAATATGTAGCTACCTACTTCTATTCCATGCAGTTTGCACCCACAGGACTCTCTGAAAGAAAATTTCCAATCAATTTTTATGTTTCTTTCCATAATA